CCCCAAAACCCCAAAACCCCAAAACCCCAAAACCCCAAAACCCCACAGGTCTTAATATGGTTGAATGTTTCAGATCTGATGAGGAATTAAGTGAAGTTTATTTTGGGAACCAAGTTGTGGAAATCGAAACTTCCAAGATTCAAGCTCTCTCCCTCCATGTAGTGGACTGGATAGTCTACGATATGACCAACAACATCTTCAATCTTCTCGTCATAGAGGTCTTGTCTATCTGCACAAGGCATATTCTCTATGGCTTCTCTATCAGCTTTGAGGTCGTCAAAGTTTCTTTGAGTGTCGCTGGGCTCAGACTTGAAAATGTCGTAGTAAATCTTAGTGTTCTTGGCCGATCTCTCTTGGATGAATTCCCAGAATTCCTCAGTTGCTCAGTCATTTATCTCTTCAAGATCTTCGACACCGAGATGTTCTAGAGAAATAGTTAGGATGTGGAAATAGTTCAATAATTGACTTACGACCCATCAATTTCTTTCTGAAATCTTGCACAAGTCTACCAACTTCGAAATCTTCACCACCCATTGTACTCTCTACAGTATCGGTGTCTTGCACGAGAAGGCAGACTTCAGAGTCTCTGGATCCAAGCATGGATCTGTCGTTAATATTGGCAGATCCCATGATGACTACTCTGTCATCTACGATCAGACATTTACTGTGAATGTAGATCATCTCTGTTTTTGGTCCATCATCAAACACGTCGTGGTTCCTTAAGGAAAAGAACCTGACATAGTCTTCGGCATTGATCCCTTGTCTTCTCAAAGTGCTATACAAGGAGTTCTTTCCCTTGATAATAGTCTCTTGCTGGAACTTGACCTGGAACTTCAGTACCTGACTATCTTCTTTGGTAATGTCCCCTTCGAATCCAGGCATTAGTGGGATGAAGATGAAGACTTTGAATTTCTCGTCATTCTTATGGGCTCTGATAATTCTTTCCTTGATGGCTCTTGTGATTGTGTTCTTCAAGACACCTCCTCTTCCAGCATTGGACATGAAGAACTGATTCTCAATGTAGACATACTTCTCAGCTGTAAGTATCAAATCTATGTAAGCATTCATAATGGAGTGTTCAACTCTGAGTACACCAGTAGACCAGTTTGAAGAACTTCTCAATACTTGGCATCTACATGTGCCTATTTTCTTTTTCTTCAAGAACCTATAGGTAATTAATCAATAGTTTACATTGAAGCAATGTTGTCTTGAATGGTGTGTCTATGTTCAACATTTACTTGCTGGAATCTTTCTTCTTTGAGCTCCTCCTTGAGTCTCTTTCTTTCCTCAATGCTGAGGTCGTCAATGAAGTCTGCCATGAGCTTCTGTCTCTCTTTAATTTCATCAACTTTAGATCCCACAGCCCCTTTTAAGGCTTTCTTCATACTGTAGAAGCTGTAGGAGGATTCTTTCTTAGAGTTAATGTACTCATCCATTCTCTCAAGCATGCTTTGCTCATCTAAAGAATTGAGGATTGCTTCATTCATCCTTACCTTTCTTCTTCTTTTGACTCTTTTTGACCATCTTAGAGAAGAAGGTGGGGTTTAAGCTCAAATCATCTATAGCTGTAACAAGGTTAGCTTACCTTTAGTTGATCCAATCTCTCCAAGCTCTTCTTCGTCACTGACTTCTACCTCTCCATCAGAGTCTTTCTCAGTAGATTCGAGGTATTCTTCAAGGAAATCCTCCTCTATATGATTACGATGAGTATTTACCTAGTTCTTCCGCACCTTTGTCAACTTTCACATTGATATCAGCTTCTTCAACGATGTATTCGACAAAGTCTTTTCCAACGACTCCATAAGCTTCTTCCTCTTCGAGCTCAAGGTGGTCGTCTACTGTGCCGTCCAAGTGCTTGCCACCAAATTTAGATGTCTGATCCATAAGGTTTTCAACAGGTCTCAAAAAAGCACCTTCCTTGTTATCAGTACCTTCTACATCAATCTTGGCATTGTTCCAGTACTCAATAAAATGGACAGCCAGGTCCTGAGCTGTTTCTCCTCTGACGAAAAGATGAAGGTCTTGCCAAGGCATTCTAGGAGTGGTGTTTCTATCAATAAGTGGTTGTGAAGTGTCTTGAACATCAACGAAGTCTTTAATACGAGAGTTACTGTAGTCCTTGCCTGGAAAGATGTAGTTTCCATCTCCATCACCCTTATCCTTTAAAGGATGCTCGCCTGTGTCATATCTCCCCATACATAAGTCTATTCCACCAGCAAAAGCTCTTTGCTGATCAATCACGCATATCTTCTCGTGGTGACTCCAGAACTGTACTAAAGTATTTGGATGCTTTTGAACAATTATATTTGGATGTAAAGATTCTAAGGTATCTATAAAGAATAAGGTTAGACTATCTTTAATGGTCATGCAGATGACTCTTTCCTACCTTTAACGTATTGAGAGCTGTTGTACAACATTCCTCCGACTTCGACTTCTTTCCAAACCAGAATCCAGACCTTGACTCCTTTTTCAGCGATAGTTTTAAGCACGTTGTCAAGCCTGGTATGGTCCATTTCCCCATTGTACATGTTGACTGGTCTTTGCAAATAGAGGTTGGGAGTCATCCACCAATCTGTGATGAAGACTTCTGATTCAGCAGCCATCAGTTCGTCGTAGAGTCTGATCCAATAGTCATGAGCATTGATGAAGAATTCTACATGGTTGTTTTCCCTCATTGGAGAGAAGGCGTCAAAAGAGCGTCTTACTTTGGACTGCAATCCGTTGTTCTTCATTGCAGTCTTCAACGCTCTCAGCCAAGTGACAAACTCAAATGCATCTTTAGCTTTAAGCTGGAGTCTTCTGTGGTTATTAATAATCATTATTCCAAACTCACTATCCGTTTCTTTCTTTCCATAGACAACATGGAAGTTGGAATCCATCATCAAGCACTCGTTTGGCTCCTTATCAAGTGAATCTTTACACAGAAGGAGGTATTGGTCGGTAATGACTATCCATCTGACAGCCCAACTTCTAAATATACTACCTGCTGCAGCAGTAAGCCAACAAGAGTCTTGCTTGTATCTTCCACCTGACCTTTTAGCGAGCTTTCCTTCTCTGTAGATGACGGCGCCTTTGATCATGTTGGTAGTGCTACTAATCTCACAGAACTCGAGGAAGCTTCTTTGGCTCCAAACATAAGGAATCTGAGCAAGTTGGTTGAGGTATTCCACAAATGTTTCCATAGAAGCTTCCATATCTTCCTCTGTTTCCTTCTTGCTATCTTTGTACTCAGGTACTTCAATCTCAAGTTCGATATCTTCTTTATCTAATGCTCTCCTAAGCTTCTTCTGTAGAGTTGCAAACTTGTTCCTTCTCTTAGTAACTTTCCAAGTGTTGTTTCCGTGTTTGATTTGGATGACAAATCCAACCATTTTCTTCCTATTATCAAAGTTGAGATTTGGTTCAGAAAGGATATCAGAACGAATACTTGCTAGTCTACTTTGACATGCCATAAACCTAACTTCAAAATTCTCTACGAAACCAACTGAGGACTCTAAGCTAGTTGTGTAAGCTCACTGCTAAACTGCCAGGATGTTAATTCTCATTGAAATAAAAGTAAGGGTATCCACAGGTGTCTTCTTACCAGCTCTTGCCAATGTCAATAATTTCCTTGCTTTCTTCAAGCCCTTCTCCAGCTGTGACATAGTCCCCAATCTTAAAGGCCCTGGTTCCGAAGAAGGTAGCGTTCTCTAGGGTCGGCTCGACCCATTCAGCAGGTGAATCTTCCATTTCTAACTTATTAATGAAATATTTCAATCTGGTTTATGGCTATTGGGGTTTTGGGGTTTTGGGGTTTTGGGGTTTTGGGGTTTTGGGG